CCCAAAACCCCAAAACCCCAAAACCCCAAAACCCCAAAACCCCAAAACCCCAAAACCCCTAAGGGGATTTTTAAGGTTGAAATTGTAAAATAACCAGTTTTTGGGCTTTTATTGTTGGAATTTAGGGCTGGATGCTCCTTTTGAGGGACAAGATTGGAAGTCCTATGATTTTATTGAGGTAAATAAGGGAATGCTTCTTGTGGCTTTATTTGTACTTATACATTATATATAAGTTACACAAATTAAGCGAACACAATTCTTGGTTCCTTCTTGATCATTTTGGGATTTACGATAACCCTTCACTCACCATGAGGCTCTAGCAAAGGAGGAGATGGCTGTCTGGTACGGTTCAGCCTATCTATCCCATTACCAAAATCTTTCCTAGTGCTCTTACAATTCTGTGGAGGTTTCTTCTTGTATCTATTTCCTTTCTTGGCTTTAAACTTATTTAACACAGCAGATGACAGGCGAGGCTGCTTCAATATTTTTCTTCCTTTCATGCTCAGATTAAGAATTCTTTTGGACATTCTTGAAATCTCAGGTTGGATACTTTCCACGATTGATGGAGGACAGAGAGTTTCATCTAAAGTAAATCTACTCTAATTATTCATAAAATCCTGGCTCATGATGTTCAAAGGAGTGCAATAATTGGGCAAGTGTCTAATTTAGAGGGGCTAATTTCAGATTTAGACTAGGCTTCTGGATGAATCATCAAATGTTTTAGAAAAGCTGTGTATCTGATAGATGAATGATTACTGTTTAAGTTAAGAATTTGATGATATTATTCGAATATAGTTGGCAAGACTCACTGGCATTGTTGGTTTGGTTTAGTAAAGTCGGGGTATGTATTGAAGTCATTGGGCCTCTGGTTGTGTAAGCTAGCCTAGAAGTTTCAGGTACGTGTGTTATACCTATTATCTATTGTATGATAGCGCTTATGATTCTGCTTAAGAGATTTTCTGTAACACTTATTAAATTTCTCTTACTGGTCAGCTGTGACGAGTCTAACCAAATTTTGGGCGAATTCTTGATGTTTTTGGGCTATTTTGTTCTTCATTTGCTGCTCTTTCATGCTCTTCTCCAAAGCCTCTTTATAAGGACTGAGGATTCGCTTTTCTAAGGGATAAGACACAGAGCTTACTATGAAGTGGTACCTCTTTAGTAGATAAATTTGCTTGACTGGCTGCCTCTTTAAATGTCGAATCTGAGTCATCATTAAAGCTCACTATGATCAATAAGGCAATGATTTACTGTTGGCATCACTCAGACGAGTTTTCTTGGTTAAAATAGATCTTTCAGGAGTCCTAAAGATTAGCAAGGCCAGCTTACTTATACTTTGACCTTGACTTGATCCTAGAATGTTGAGAGCCGAGCTTGATGCGCTTCTTATGATGGTTCTAGAGTAAATCCACAATCAAAAGTACTCGCAAATGTCTCTTTGGCTTTTTGCCAGGCTCTGACAATTTCAGGTTGATTGCATATTGGATGGAGTGTATCTTATTTATCAAACTCCTCTTTATTCTTATTGAAGATAAGCTTGGCTATTTTGGACCAGTTGGATTTAGCTTCCTTGCCTAGAGATGTTAGGGGTGATCCTACCAATAAGTTTCTGTAAATTTTTATCGTCACACATCTATCAATGGTTGGTGATGTGGTCAAGGATATGACTTTACCTCAAAAGTAGCTTGATCTTCTTTGTATATTTTGTCAAGCCTGGAAATATCTACAATCTTTTTATTGTAAGTGTTTATGAAAAACTCAACTTTGTTCTCGATTGAGAGGTTTGGATTTTTCCTAGTTGGTATTTTCAAATTTTCTAAAGAGTCTTAGGCTAGCTAGTACCAGTCTTTAGTTTCTTTTTAATCCTTCGTGGTGCAGAGTAATGTTGGAGAGCTATTTTCTTACTTGAGTTGTGCAAATCCTTGACTTTTGTAACCTCCTTTCTGGAGTTGAGCTCCTTCAGCTATGAATTCAAGACTAAACTTAAGAATCCGAGACAAGCAGTCTGGCTTACTTCACATTTTTGGGAACTTCTTTGAACTGTAGAAATTTAGAGGAGTTGTCAGGCTTTGAGCATCTTGGATCCATTAATACAGAAAAGTCCTCTTTGAGGCTTTGCGGTAAGTATGACACTCTTTTAGGAATGTTCCCGATGGACTTATTTGTCTCCTGAGGAGTCTTCCTGTGAGATTACGTATTTTTCTGAGAGGTATGAATCTATACAAAATCATGTCGAACTTCCTTGAAATTTTAAGAAAATGATTTAAATTAGAACTTAAAAATAAAAACCCTATGAAGGACTTTTAATCATCACGGCCTAAGGAATCATCCATATGGACCATCACTGGCACAAGAACTTTCCATAATTCCTGATGCCCATCCAATAACTTGCCAACCTTGACTTACTCTTCGGTATAGCTGTGGGGTTAGGAGATGGCCTGCGATACATTTTAATTATATTTTCAACTTGAAGAGTAATACTAGGGGTTTTGGGGTTTTGGGGTTTTGGGG